TCTCCTCGCCTGGCCTCTCATGATTGTGGGGATGCTGCAACAGTCGTAAGTGTAAAAACAGTCATAAGTCACTTTTTTCAGTGCCATTGTAACTTTGAATGGTCACTCCACACAAGCAAAGTACCAGCAAAGGAGGAAACAAAATCTCCAGAGAAGTTCCGGAGACAGGAAGTCTAGTCCTGCCAAGAATGTAATAAGGGTTAATGGAGAGGCAGTTTCTGTAAGCAACACCAGAATGTTTCCTTCCTGCCTTCCATACAGGATTAGGCCAGTAATTTCTTCTAACAACCGGTTCTCCAAACTGCTTAGAATGTTAACAACTGGTTCTAGAGAATAGGTGCGAACCAGTAGAATCCCACCCGATTATAACATTGAAAATGTTAAAGGAGATATTTGAAGAATAGAGTTAAAAATGAGTAATCACAATATCAACTTAGTAATTATGTTTGCTTCTGATAGAATAGAGTCTAGACTATGTCTAAAATATGTTAATGAGTAAGACAAATCTGACAAGATAGAGAAACTGCAGATGACAGGTCAAGACAATGATTTGGAAAAGGACACTTTATTGGATATACAAAAGAAACTGTTGTGATTGGAAGGATCGGTCCTGTTGGGAGTTTTGACTCTGATGACTGTTAGATCGTGGATTGACGTCAGAACCAGGAAACGTTAATCTGAAGGGCAAGCCAGTTAATTAGCACGTTGTCTTAATGGGTATAAAAGGAGCACAGCTGAGCTGGTGCCTTTCACCAGGAACAAAATGACAATTTTGAATGAGGACGTTACAGCAAAGAGCTCTCTGTTTGTTTGAATTTTGAAGGGGAGTCCTAACAGTTTCTGCCAGTCGTTATCTTGTTATTTCCTTCAGTTTGATTTGATTGTGAAACGGCTGCTTTATGTTTGTTCGTTTGAATTTCCAAGAGGAGACATAACATTATTGTTCCTGGCCCAAACAAACCATCTTTCAAGCAAGATGGATTTAAATCAACTGCAGCGTTTGGTAGAGCAGCAACAACAACAAATTAATCAGCTACTGCAAAGCAATGTGACACTTCAGAATCAGGTAACACAGTTGCTGAATTATGTTTCCAGCTTACCAAGCCCTGCTGCTGTTCCCCCTGCCCCTCCTGAGAGGAAAAGCCCAGTATCCATGCCGGAGAAATTTTCAGGACAAATGGACATGTTTCCGGCATTTCTGGGGCAGTGTCAATTATTTATGTCCTTGAGGCCTGAAAACTTTCCAAATGATCGGGCTAAGACAGGATTTATTCTTAGCCTTTTATCTGGGCAGGCTGCTAATTGGGCTACTCCCTTGTTAGTTCAAGATAGCCCGTTGTTAAATTATTTCCAGGGTTTTCTTCAACAAATGAGAGTGATGTTTGAGAACCCAATTAAGATACAAACTGTGGACAGACGGTTATGGGACATTAATCAGGGGAAACGTTCCCTGCAGGAATACGTTGCAGAATTTCGTTTGCTGTGTTTGGACTCTAACTGGAATGAACCGGCTCATATGGCTGCATTCCAGGAAGGCTTGTCTGATGCCATCAAAGATGAGCTGGTCCATGCAGAGAGGGCTTTAATTTTGGATGCATTGATAGTTCAGTGCTTACAAATTGAAGCTTGTTTACAGCAACGTGGACGCAAACGGCTCGGTATGGAACCATCTTCATTTTCTCGTGCACAACCCACGCCACCGAGAGTTTTCCAACCCACGGTTAATGTTGAGGAGCCGATGGAGTTAGGTGCACTCCGCCCTCGCTTAACGGTGCGAGAACGTTCGAGAAGGTTCCAGGAAGGCTTGTGCCTTTATTGCGGGGGTCTGGGACATTTTGTTAATTCCTGCAAACGGAGAGGGACCCGCAGACCTGTACCTGAAACCACTCTTGGCTCATCAGGAAAACAGGGTAGACCTGACCTCACGGAAACCCTAGGTCGGACACATTTCACATCCCCACCTCAAATTGCTGAAGTAAATCCTGGCCCTCCTCGGCATTTACTTTTGGACACTCGAATTTTTCTACAGTCACAGAAGGAGGGAATTCCCGCTGTTGCGTTGGTGGACTCAGGGGCTACAACCAGCTTTATGGACCGAGCTTTTGCTACGCACTATGGGATCCCATTGGTTGCTGTACATCCACCCATTAAGGTGGAAACCGTGGATGGGCATGAGCTCAAGTCTGGGCCCATTCGTTTCGCCACCCAGCCAGTGCGTATGATCATTGGGGATCATGAGGAGGCGATAAGTTTTTATATCACCTCGAACCTTCATCTCCTTTTGGTGCTCGGAATGTCCTGGTTGCGTTTGCACAATCCGTTGGTGGCTTGGTCGCAGAACGGTATTTCTTTTCCAAGTCTCCAATGTGTAGACCACCTGAGACAATTGGAACGAGCGACGCCTCCATTGGCTGTGGGAGACAGAGTGGGGTTGTCAACGAAACATCGTCAAGTTAATCATCAGACTCGGGGGAAGGGCCCTGCGTTGAGGGATAGTGTTGTGATTGGAAGGATCGGTCCTGTTGGGAGTTTTGACTCTGCTGACTGTTAGATCATGGATTGACGTCAGAACCAGGAAACGTTAATCTGAAGGGCAAGCCAGTTAATTAGCACATTGCCTTAATGGGTATAAAAGGACACAGCTGAGCTGGTGCCTTTCACCAGGAACAAAATGACAATTTTGAATGAGGATGTTACAGCAAAGAGCTCTCTGTTTGTTTGAATTTTGAAGGGGAGTCCTAACAGTTTCTGCCAGTCGTTATCTTGTTATTTCCTTCAGTTTGATTTGATTGTGAAACGGCTGCTTTATGTTTGTTCGTTTGAATTTCCAAGAGGAGACATAACAGAAACTGGCTTTTTATTTTTAAAAATTAAAAGGGAAATACAAAGGAAAACCAAGAGAATGACAGAAAAAGCTATGTTAAAGCCTTGAAAAAGCTGTGAGATGGAATATGGAAGAAACTAACAGAAATCAAATCATATACTGATATTTTGAAAACTACTACTTGTAACAACAGCCTATTGCCTTTTGGGATTTTTGAGTACTAATTGTGATCACAGTGGAACTTCATCCTAGAATAACAGAGTTGGAATGGACCTTGGAAACTTTGAGATGTTTAATTCCTGAGATTGCCCTACCAGAAAATAAAATCCGATCCTGCAAAGATAGATTTAGAAAGACAGATAGATTTAATATAAGAAGCATAAATGTAGAAGAAACAACACAATGAAAATTTTTGATCACCTCCCAATGACCCTCATCTGATATAACCATCCATCACAAGATTCATCACAATAATCTCACTGGTGTCTCACACCTGATCCATCACAAAACCTACTACAAGACCCTCACTTGGCACACCCATGCCTGACCTATCACAAGACCCATCACAAGACCCTGACCTAATGAGATCTTGACCTGATGTCACATCACCATCACAAGACCTATTGACCACACAAAACCCTTATAAACAGAAGAACATTGACATCCCCTAAATTCTGCTAAAGATGTTCCCTAGCCTGATAATGAAATGTTTGGAAATCATCTCACAAGCTCAGAAAACAAATCTTCACTATTTAATTGAATTAAAGATTAAGACTGTTAGAAGTGAATTCAAAGATGGCAGCGCCCAACTAGGAAGGTGAGGCTCTTGCTCCTGCTGGTCAATTGATTGCGAGTGGTGCTCTCACCATTTTCCTACCTGATTGAAGTATATAATTGATCGAAAATAAATTTACAGATCATCCCCGATCAAAATAACTCTGTTAAGTCACTGCCTACATCAATTATCACCATAAACCATCTGATTCTGTGACTGAGGGCCGGATCCCAGGGTGCTGACCATCCATAAAAATTGCTGCCTAAACTGCCACCTATACCAGTGATCACCTGTGTTCAGCTGATCCCATGATGGAAGTCCTGATCTCAGAGCGCTGGTGCCCCTATTTCACCAAAAAGCGCTATAAGCCAGAGCCCGTTGAGTATTGTAGCACTACAAGCAATATATAAATAGCCCTGACCCTTAATCAATGGCAGAGGTCTGGCAGCTGATCTTCTTACAGCTGAACGCTTTCCCCGCCTTCTCCGTAGCCCTATAGATTCGCGCAGCAGCCTGATCCCTAAGATTGCTGACCGAAGACAAGAAGATCTATGAGAAGACAGACCTGGATCCCTAAGATCACTAACTGAAAATCAGAAGATACGAGAGAAGAGCAACCGTCTGCCAAAAGACCTTCATCTATACTTCCACCCTAATACATGCCCTTTTACTATAGCCCGCAACAGTCATCCAAACAAAATCTTCTCCTCTTTCTGCCCTACACCCCCATTATTTTCTTCCTGCCCTAATTTTTCTCACTATAACTCTGTTTAATTGATTAATTGATCTTAACTAATTGATTAATTAATTTTACAATTATTTATCATTAGTAATTAATAAATTATTATATATTATTAGTGACTAGTGGTTATTGCTTAGTTTGATTAACTGTTTTGAATATTAGTATAATTAGAATGTTTAGTGCAAATTAGTGATTAGTGCAACTACTTGACTAGTGTTTTTAGTGATTAGTGTAACTGATTGATTAGGGCGATTAGTATAATTGACGGTTTGATGTGATATTGCTTTATTGATTACCATAATATCTTGTTTAATTGAACAACTCAATCAACAAACCATCTCAACAAACCCACCATGCCAGGAAAACAATCCAATGTCAAACCACAACCTAAAAAGAAAGATATCCCTACTAAAGAACCACAAGACTCCTGCTTTTACCTTGCATGTATTACTGTGCCCCAGAATGTCTACTACAGACTTGTATTGCAAAACTTTTCATGTTTTCAGAATTTTCAAAGTATCACATCCTTGATTGATTAGTTATGTGCTATCAATTTAGTGTCAGCTCTTAGTCACACACAGATTTTCTCCATGATGATCTGTCCTAGCCTGATTCTTAAGGACTTATAATGGTGCATTCATTGTAATTCAGGGGTGTCAAACTCAAGGCCCATGGGATGCTTAGATCTGGCCTTCTGGGCTGCCCTGGAAACTGTGAAGGACCAGTCTGCGGTGTCTCTGCCAACAAAAATGGAGCTCCATTTTCAGCTTCCATGGCCTCCTGCAGTCCCCTTTCAGTGAAAATGGAGCTTGGCCTCCTGAGCTATGTTTTCGCTGGTGGAGTGCTCAGGCCAGTAGATGCTCCCTCTCCAAAATGAGTGGTGTCAATTTGGCCATGCCCATCCTGGCCACACTCATCTGGCCCCCCAAGGTCAAACACAATCCTGATGCAGCCCTCAGTGAAATCAAGTTTGACACACACACACACACACACACACACACACACACACCCGCTGGAACTGAATCAGTTGATCTTGCTGTTCTCCCTCCTTACATCTTTCCAAGAATTAGACTTTTACCCAGAGAACTAAATGTACACTTAATGTTTCTGCAGTATAATAATTTGGTAATTTGTACCTTGAGTTGATTTGTGTTATAATCCATATCTTTGTTTTCCTGGGAGTCGATAATCTCAGGAAAAATCTCAGGGATTTTCACTCAGGAGCCTGTATCCTTTCCCTGCTCTACCAGGGAGAATGACTGTAAAACATTCACTAGTGTTTTCATCAGTTTTGCAGTCCAGCATGCCAAGGGATTTCTGGAAATGACTCAGCTTGCTGGAGAAACAGATTTCAAATTTGGTGAAAATACCAGTAAATGTCATTGTTCTAGAAAGGTCAGAATGCTGGCCTTCACCAATATTTTCCCCTCTAAATGCTACTTTATAACAGTTATAAAGAACTATATTACAAGTTATAAATATATATAACAGTTATAAAGAACTATATTATATTATAGTACCTCCTGTAACAGTTAAATAGCTACCATTAAGGGGTTAAAGAATTATCTATAAAGTCTACTTAATATTATTTAGTCACTGAACAGTAGCCAACTACTAGTCTTGTTATATCTTTCCTACTTACAAAAGTAATGCTAGTTCCTTTTCACATCCTAAGTAGTAAATAGTTTGATCCTCTAAATGAGTATCTAATTCCAGTCCATCTCAATTTTTTGATGCCTAAGACATCAGTTTATAATTATTTTATTTTTTTCATTACATCTTCCACATTCATGCTTCTTATATTAAATATCTCTTTGTAAATTTATCTTTGCAATGTCAATTTTTTTTTCGCTATAAAGTAGGGGTTGACGTTGCTCATGTGGGTGGTGCCTGTAGGGGGCGGGGAGGTTTGGGGAGGGAATCCAAGGGTCTTTGTTGGATGGACCAATAGGTGAGAGGCTCATCCTGCAGGATGAGATGGGACAAGGCAGGAGGCAAGGCAGCTGCAGCCGGAAAATCATGATCAGGCACCATGAGCTCACTGATATTTGTCTGTGGGTGGGTGGTTTTTGGCTGTAGATGCAGCCTGCCGGCCCCTCAGCTGGCACACACTTTGGCTCTAGAGCCTCTGCCACCATCAGGCTGGCTGTCCAAGCAGCAAGTAGAGATGGGGGGAGGAACATGATGCAGACCACTGGATGTGTTTATTCCTTTCCACTGTCTGTTTTAGCTCACAGTTGGAGAACAGGTCATCACTGGTCATCTTCTCCTCGACAGGATGTTCATGCTATCCTGGCAAGCACACCTGCACACATCCTGGCATGCATGCATGTATGTGCCTCCTCCTGTGTGCACATACACCTGCTGGATGTCATGGGTGGGCCTGTGTGCATGAGCACCCACCGCCTCCTGCACATATGTGCGCCAGCTGGGATGGGATCCGCCAGGCCAAAGCAATGCAGGCCAGCCCCTTACCATTTCCAGAATGCTGTGTGGGCCAGATCCAACCACATAATGGGCTGAATCCAGCTCACGGGTCTTGAGTTTGACACCCCTGCTATAAGGCAACCCCAGGAAGTAAACATCTCAAAGCTTTAATCTAATTATTATGATTACAATTAGTATTCAAAAGATCCTCAACTGTTCTTCAGTAGTGTGTAGAGTGCCATAAGAACTGAGAGGCCCATCAATTGGTGTTGTAGTCATAGTTTCTATAAATAGAGGACAAGTAGGCAGTGAAACTGCAAATTCAAGATCAAGATGCCTTTCATCTTTACTAAAAACAGGGAGGTGTCTGTTATGTCCTGAGGACTCAAGGAGTTCTCACTCAGGTCCACTCACTTTACGTGGGCGTTATTCCCCCATTCCCATTGGTTGGCTCTCCCCAGCAGCCAGCTATAAAAGCAGGCTGCGGGGTCCAACCGGTCGCTGATTGCTGCGAGCCAGTTCCAGGCTTGGCAAGCACGGTCAGCCCTTTATTGTAAAATAAAGTATTGTTGCATTCATGCTCTGGTTCAGCCTCTCATTGCTCAAACAAAACACTGGCGACGAGGATGGGATGGCTACCAGAAGCACCTTGCAACCGCTGAGTCACTAGCCACCGATCCACAGCCCAGAGAGAGCGATCGGCTGGCGACAAGGGAAACGCTGATCCGCAGCCAGAGAGAGCGGTCAGCTAACGAAACGAGCGATCAAAAAGAGCAAACGCAGATCCGCAGCCAGAGAAAGCGGTCTGAGTCAAATAGTTAGAAGCGTCTGTAGCCGCTTGTTAGCCCGCTACGGGGAAAGTGAAGCACTGCGAGCCGCAGCCGCTCTGCATTTGGCGCGAAATTCAAACGGGTGTCATTTGAATTTCGAGCCAGTAGGAATCACAGCACAGCGCTGTAGAGAGTCACTAACGCCCACTTTTTTGGCGCGAATCAAGACACCTCCAACGGCTAGCAGCCAACGTGGTAACCCAGAGAGAGAGAAAGAGAGGGTAGCAAAAAACCTCTCCAGAGCTGATATCACTAGTAACTCACGAGCGCTCGTAGTCCCAGAGAGATTTTTTTCCGCAGGTAGCCCAGCCGTTCCAGCACCATGAGTTCCAATCCAGTATTCCCGGCGTTTAAACCAGACGAAGAGAAGTGGGAATCGTATAAGAACCGTTTCAATCATTACATCGATGCGGTCGGCCTGGCGGATGCGGGAGAACATCGGAAAAAATCCTATTTCCTAATCTACTGCGGAGCCACCGTTTACGATACCGCTGCAGCACTCGTGGCGCCGAGAGAATTGAAAAACGTTCCGTGGTCCGAGTTGCTTGAGATCCTCACAAACCACTACGCTCCCAGGCCTTCACAAATCGCCAGGAGGTTCACGTTCCGAATGAGGAAGCAATCAAGTAAGGAGACCATCAACCAATATATGGCCGCCCTCAGAACAGCAGCCCTGCACTGCGGGTTTGGAACATACCTGGAGGACATGCTCCTCGATCAATTAGTTTGTGGGGTCAAGGATCTCAACCTACAGAGGCGACTGCTAGCTAAAAAAGACCTCAACCTTGCGCAAGCGGTAGAGGAGGCCCTAGCAGCCAAGCTAGCAACGAACTCAGCCACCGAAATTCAGGGCCCAAGCGCCAAGCTAGCATCGTTCCCAGTCCATTCCGAAGAGGTGGAAGCGGAGGAAGCCCACAACGATGAGAACGATGTCCATCGCCTCACCAATGACAGACGGTCGCAGGTAGGGGCCAAACAAGAATACACCGGTCCACCCAAGCACATCACTCTGTGCCTAGCCTGTGGGGGATCACATCAAAGGGCCACCTGCAAGTTTAAAGGAGCCGTTTGCAACAACTGCCATAAGAGGGGGCACATTGCGAGAGTCTGCCAAGCCCCCCAAAGCGCTGCACACAGACCCCCGTCCTTGCACTCGGGACCACAGAGGCAAGTATTAAACTGTCGCACGCACCGCCTTGCCAGGCGTACTTGCCACACTGTTAGTAAAATTTCTCTCTCCGTTTCCCTAGAAGGTAAACCGTGCCACATGGAGGTTGACACAGGGTCAGCGCTCTCAATAATCTCGTGGAACACCCTCAAGAGACTCCACCCCAGCCTATCTACTACCCGGCTTCAGAGATGCCAGTTCGGTCTGAAGGACTACCAGGGGAAGGCCATTCCCGTGATCGGCAGAGGCAAGTTCTTTGTCAGTTTTAGAGCTTTTAAAGGCCACCTACCTCTAGTGGTAGTTAACGGCAATCTACCCACCTTATTGGGGCTCGATTGGTTTCCCCACCTCGGCCTAGGGTTAACAGGAGTCCATGCTGTCTCAACCTCAGACACTGACTCCTTATTCGCTGACTACGCAGATGTGTTCAGTGAGGAGCTGGGGTGTTATAATGGAACCCCCATCTCGTTCACCGTTGACCCCCAGGCAGTCCCAATCAGATTAAAACCACGTAGAGTTCCATTTGCTATTCGACCAAAACTAGACGCTGAATTGGATAAGCTACTAAAACAAGGGGTCATTGAGCCAACAGATTTCGCCAAGTGGGAGACGCCCATTGTCACACCCCTCAAAAAAGATGGTAGCCTGAGAATTTGCTCGGACTACAAGACAACAATCAATAAATATTTACAAGTTAGCGCCTACCCTGTGCCCGTCATTCAGCACTTATTGCACACATTTGAACCGGGCAGTATTTTTGCTAAATTGGACATGTCTCAAGCATATCAACAGTTCCTTGTTGATAACCAAACAGCGGAACTTCAGACCATCGTCACTCACAGGGGTGCCTTCCGATGCAAGCGTCTCCAATTTGGCGTAAGCGTTGCCCCGGGTATTTTTCAGTCCCTCATGGAGCGGATTTTACAGGGCCTCCCTGGTGTAGTACCCTACTTCGACGACATCTTGGTCTCGGCCAGGGACAGACCCCAACTCTTCCAGAGAGTGCGAGCAGTGTTAGAGAGGTTCAGACATCATGGCCTCAGGTTAAAAAAAGAAAAATGTGCCATTGCCACTAGACAGGTGGACTTTCTGGGTTATAAAATTGACGCCTCTGGCATTCACCCCCTGGAGTCCAAGGTTAGGGCGATCCACGAAGCTCCCACACCGACCTCCAAAACGGAGCTACAAGCTTTCTTGGGGCTCCTAAACTTTTATGCATCCTTCTTGCCCCATAAAGCCTCAGTAGCCGAACCCCTACACAGATTACTAGACAAAAAGTCACCGTGGCACTGGGGGCACAAAGAAGACCAGGCATTTAACGCCGTCAAATCACTACTTACGTCAGAGGCAGTGCTCATCCAATTCGACCCCAACCTTCCTTTAGTACTGGCAGCAGACGCATCCCCTTTTGGAATTGGGGCGGTCCTTAGTCACAGACTCCCCAATGGCGCCGAGGCCCCCATCGCCTTTTTCTCCAGGACGCTCTCGGCCACGGAGCGAAATTACAGCCAAATAGACAAGGAAGCCCTAGCAGCTGTTGCAGCCGTGAAAAAGTTTCACGAATTCCTTTTTGGCCATTTCTTCGAACTGGTCACCGACCATAAGCCCCTCCTGGGCCTACTGGCCGGCGACAAACAGACACCTCAAGTCCTTTCCCCTAGAATGACAAGGTGGACACTTTTCCTAGCGGCCTATTCATACAAACTTATTCACCGCCCGGGCAAAACTCTATCCCACGCCGACGCTCTCAGTCGCTGCCCCTTACCCGCTCCGGCTGAAGACCCAGCTCCTGTCAACGCCATTTTTGAAATCACCCAGTTGGACCTGCCCATCACCGCCCTTGACATCGCCGCTAAAACCAAGGCAGACCAAACGCTCGCCCAGGTGCTCGACTGGGTGAGGAGGGGGTGGCCGGGAGGCAACGTCGATAACAAATTCGCACCCTTTAAGACTCGCATGCAGGAGCTGTCCAGTTTGCAGGGTTGTCTACTGTGGGGCACTCGAGTGGTCATTCCGACCTCGCTGCGTACCCGAGTCCTGGAGGCGTTGCACGAGGGACACCCCGGCATTGTGAGAATGAAGGCGTTAGCACGCAGCTACGTGTGGTGGCCGGGTCTAGACGAGGACATTGTCAATTGGGTAAGTTCCTGCAGCTTCTTCTTCTTCTTCTTCTTCTTTTTCTTCAGCGTTTGTCTCGCGCTCGGGCGAGGTCCGCTAATGTCCTTGAGTACTGCTTCCACACCTCTCTGTCTGCCACATGTGTCGGGTCTGCCTTCGCGATCTCTAGATCGGCCTTGATCGTGTCCATCCAGCGTTGTTTAGGTCTACCACGCGGTCTCGCTCCTCCGACAGTCACCTTCATTACAGATTTGATGATGGATTCTTCCTTGGCGCGGCTCACGTGGCCGAACCATCGTAGCCGGGACTGCCTCATGACCGTGGGGATGGGCACGACGTTGAACCGTCTACGCACTTCTTCGTTCCTGACGCGATCGAGTAGGGTGAGGCCTACCGACCATCGGAGCATTCGCATCTCCATTATCTGGAGTCTGCTTTCGACTTCTTTGGTCGTCGGCCAGCACTCTGCGCCGTATATGGCCACGGGGCGCACCACAGAGTTATAGATTTTCGCCTTCAGGCGCATCGGCATCTTCTTGTCACAGAGGACGCCCGTGACGGACTTCCATTTGCCCCACGCTGCGTTGATCCTGGCTGCCACCTCAGTTTGTAGTAGGCCTTCTTCCCCAAGAGTAGTTCCCAGGTACTTGAAGGTAAGTTCCTGCAGCATTTGCCAGGAATCCCGTCCTGCTCCCCCATCGCCACCCCTACCAGATGGGAGAGCGCCAACGCCCCTTGGTCTAGAATCCATATCGATCTGGCAGGCCCCGTGCATGGAAAGATGTTCCTAGTGGTCGTGGACGCTTATTCCAAATGGATAGACGTGGCGCAGCTATCCACGACCACCACACTAGCAATCACCAACGTGTTAACGCGCCTGTTCATTACACATGGACTACCCAACTCCATTGTCTCCGATAATGGCCCACAGTTCGCATCAGTAGAATTCAGCCGTTTTGCTGCCAACCTGGGCATTCGCCACATTTTCACAGCCCCATTTCACCCTGCCAGTAATGGGTTGGCTGAACGGGCCGTCAGGACCACCAAAGAGGCCCTCGCTAGGTTTGGCAGGGATGACTGGCACCACAAACTCGCACGGTTCCTGATGAGCCAACACTCAACCCCCTGTGCAGTCACCAATAAGTCCCCAGCGGAACTTCTGATGGGCCGGCGCCTGAGGACTGTATTGGACAGATTGCACCCACAATACTGCCCTGACTCTCCCCTCGCTTCTACGTCGGGGGTTAGACATTTCTTGTTACAGGAACCGATATTCGCAAGGAATTTCGCCGGGGACCCACTTTGGATTCCAGGCGAGGTCATCGCCATCACCGGGCCGAGATCGTATAGAGTCAGGCTGGAGGATGGTCGCGTCTGGAGGAGACATATTGACCAGCTTAGAAGGCGCCTCAGCACCCTTGCCAACAAGAGTCCAGAGTCTCCAGTCGAAGGGGAACCGCCTCATCCGCCGCCCAGCCACATCGTACCCAGCGACCAGTCTGCACCAGCGGTCGTTCCGGTCAGCCCAAACTCGGACAACAGCGCCCAGAGAGTTGACCAGCCAAATCCAACCCACGAGAGCTCGACCCCAGTAACCAACCCGGTGTTTCCCGAGGATGCCCAGTCCAGAGAGAGTGTTGGCGACACTATGCCGGCTCGACCATCACAGACTGGTACCGAACAGACAGACAATGTTCCCGAGTTGCGCCGTTCCGGGCGCCAACACAAACCCCCCGTCTACCTCAAGGACTATGCATGTTCGCATCTGGGGGGAAGGGGTGTTATGTCCTGAGGACTCAAGGAGTTCTCACTCAGGTCCACTCACTTTACGTGGGCGTTATTCCCCCATTCCCATTGGTTGGCTCTCCCCAGCAGCCAGCTATAAAAGCAGGCTGCGGGGTCCAACCGGTCGCTGATTGCTGCGAGCCAGTTCCAGGCTTGGCAAGCACGGTCAGCCCTTTATTGTAAAATAAAGTATTGTTGCATTCATGCTCTGGTTCAGCCTCTCATTGCTCAAACAAAACAGTGTCAGTGCTATATTTGCTTGTAGGTTTCTCTGTTACTAATCTTTAACTAAATATAATAGTTATTTAGCCTTATGCCTCTAAGAACAAATACGCCAAAAGATTAACTGCCCTCTCCAAAAAAAAATAGGCAAATTCAAAAACTAAATCTAATTATTGTCTAACTAAATTAAAATTGTATACTTAATAGATATGTCCAATATAATAATTGCACAAGACCCAGTTTGGTATTGTGATTTAAAGTATTACACTAGAAACAGGAAAATTGTGAACTCTAGCCCTGCCTGCGGGTGAATCCAACTGGGTGATTCTGGGCTGGTGATTCTTTTCCTAGCCTTAGGAAGGAAGCAGTGACATACCACATCTGAAAATCTTGCTAAGGAAACTGTCTTGAGTCAAGCATAATTTGAAGGTACCAAATAGGAGTTGTTGTTATTTTCAAAATTGGATGAATAAATTACATTACTCATATTGTATTAAATTCTTAAGATAAAAAAGAGAAATAAAAAGTGAATGGTTGTGTCAGATCCCTAAAAGTGATACTGCCATTCAAGAGGGAGAAGTGGGGGGTCTTGGAGTCAATTCATTAATATTGCCTGTGACAACTGGCATTTTTATAACTTGTATCCTGGCGCCAGATGGATAAGAGGAGAAACTATGTGGAATGTTTACTTTAATAGCCAGAGGAAGATTGGCCATGGAAATGTATGCTTATCTGTTTTCCCAGAGCAATCAGGACAATAACATCTTCATACCTGTGGATTGGCTGAATCAACATCGGGCTAAAGGGGAGTCCCTGTGGCTTTAAATCAAGTATGTCATGCCTAAGACAGATCAGACATTGCTTTGAATGGCATGCTTTCACTTCTGTTTAATAAAAGCTTCCTTTTGAAATCCTTTGTTTCAAGAGTCTTCACTTCCTTAAGTAAGAAGGAGAAGCAGTCTTTACATACTGTTAGATACTGTTAATCATCTGGATCTATCTCTACTATAAGACTAGCCTTAAAGACAGAATAAAACAAATACCAAATGGGATACCTGCTTCATTCCAACTCCTCGTGAAGCTTTCTCAATTTTGACCTGGTTAATTATTGTGTAGTCATTTTTTTCCAAATCTTGATGATTCCCAGCTGTGCTATACTGCTGTTCTCATCATCTCCAAATTGTACGGTTTGAGGGAAATGTTCAGTAATTTGAGAGCACCAAGGTGTATTCCCACCCCCACAGACATCCCAGCAGCATAAGTTACTGCCTAGAAGAACCAGTAGTTCTCTGACTCAGAATCTGAGCAAATTTATTAAAACCTGCCATCATCATTCACTTCAAATTGTGTAACTCTACATTGTGACATATTTTGAAATAAAGCAATTTTCTTCTCATTCAGAAGGAAGTCAAGTTCAATAGTTTGGCCAAGTTATATGTTATCTAGTGGAAAAGATTAACCGAAGCAAAGTTTCAACTTGTGAAGAAGGGCACTCATATAACAGGAATTAGGCTGTCTTACTTTATTCTTACAATTATATTGTCTAGTGTAGATGTTCTATATACGCCATCAACAAAGCCTTCTCTTAGTCTGTAATTGCTAATCTGCTAAATTGGAGCAACAAATAATACTGACCATTAATCAAGTTATTTTAGAACCTTACTCAGAAAACAACTCATATGCTTTTACTGTTTCAGATAATAAAATACCACAAAATTTTAAAAAAACCCTAACCATTTGAGTCTAGCCTTCATCATTCTTAAAATCAACTGAGAGAGTCACCTCATTTTCTAACAGTATAACTGATAGTACCATACATGCATGAATATATGTGCATGTTCACACTTTAGTCCAGGGTCCCATTCTATTCATTCAACCTATCATATACTGCTTACATTAAGGAAGTTCCTTACTTAGAACAGTTACACTCAGCCCTTATGAAAACATAAAAATCTTTCTTAATGTGTGAAGAAGCCATCCCTATCTATATGCTATTGGGGGAAGAATGATTTTCATCCCTATTTGTGAAGAAGATTTGGTACCTTCCCCCAAGAGGATTTCTCAACTCCCTACTTTAGATGCTTTTTCTCAGTTTCTCTTCTTTAAAATATTGATTCTCTGAGTGTTCATTGCAATCTAGACTTTTACATATAAAGTTCATCAAAGTCTAAGGGTAGAAATATTCACTGAATGAAAACATTAAAATTGCCCATCACAATGCATATTATGGAAAAAACAAACTTCATAGAAAAAATGGATTTATCATTTCTCCATTCAGAGTCCTAATATTGTAGGGATATGTAGAGTTAAAATTCAGAGAAACAAATGGAATCAACTAAGTTAATACTCCAGCCATGAGAATATCTGTTTGGTCTGGAATTGGATCAAAATCTCTTTGTATCCAAAGTTACATGCTCCAACATATTTTACACAATCATTATCATTTTATCAAGCTTTATAGAAAGGCTTTCAATAGAAGCTGCATACTATTCAACCATTTTTCTTAGGTTTTAGTCAATGTTCAGCCATTTCTTCACATTCCATCCCTCCCTAGATGGACAGGCTCACCAGACAACAATTTTTTTTCTGTATAGGACATAAGTAGGATGGGGCAATTCTTATCAAATAAAGTAATCCAAGGTTGTAAGCCACAAAGAGTATTATAGCTTATAAACAGCCTATGAACAGAAACCATAAACCTAAATGTACCTCCCCCAAATGGTTGGAATATCCTTAATAAGGATTTATTTATAAATCTACAACTACATTTTGAATTGTGTGAGGCAACCACTAATAAGGCAACCACTAATAAAGAAATTTATTGTAATTCTTGGGGGGGGGGAGTAGTTTTGTGTCTTCATTTTTGTATTGATTGATTAAGTGAGTGATACTATTTCAAAGTCAGATATATTCATTGTTAAAAAGTGGAGAATAATAATAAAAACATTTAAAAGTAATTTTTTAAAAAAGCATTAGGGCTAG